ATGAAGTCACGGCCATTGAAATATCTTGCGCAGGTTTGTCTGGTTCAAGAATGTTTGTGACTTAGCCTTGTCTAAGTTAAAGTTCCAATGTAGAGGGTGCGTGTAAAGAAACTCCCTAATGAAAATTAATTATAACTTTTGTTGATGTCACCACACTTACAGGAAACAAAATATATTGTGATTCTTAAAATAATAGAATTTTATTGCTAATTTCTATTTTTTCTTTCAGACTGACAAGTGCAGCTAAGAATGCAACAACTCCTGAAAATGGATGAGCGCGATCAGTTAGCATCTTGGTAAGAATCTGGTAGACCGCGGTCCAAGTGAAAATATGGTGGGGTGGTGTTCATGGGCGTTGTGCTTCAGTAGATGCGAAAACCATCATAGATTTTCATTCCAAGGTGATGGTTACCGTATCAGCACCCACACTGGTAGAAAATGAGCAGAATTAATGGAAATGTTTCAAGACATACCCAGACAATTACAAACACCAGATAACGCTGTAGAATTTTAAGACTGTACTGTTTTTTTGTTTTTTTTCTCGAGGGAACTGGAAAGTGGGTCTTGCATATGACTTAAAACTTTACGCGACAGTAGAAAACATCGGCTGAGTATATATTTGACTCTACAAGTAAAGCCCCGTAAAATGGAAAGAATTTTGGCGTAGTATTACACTTTTAGAGGTGATGTATTCGTTAGATTCGAGGCTACTCCGACATGGTACTCTAACAGACAGGGTTAAATAGCAAAACGAGAAATGAGAAAACCAAATAACTTCCACTTAAGCAGAAGTCCGTAAAAAACGGACCATTGTTAACCTTATAACTCAAGTATAACAAAATATACACATATTAAAAACTCACATTTCTGAATTAACTATCGGAAAAAGAGTTGGTATTTAATTTCTTCCATTATGAGCCTTCTAGACGTCGAGGTTCATGGCTCATTATGTCTTCATATGCCTTATTAGAAATGTTTTGTCTTTGTACTATCCCATCCAATACTTGTTCTGCTATTTATTTACACAATCTCATTAACTAGGTTACACAAGAAGGAAGAATGAAAAAAAAGGAAAAGAATAAGCATAAAAGAAAGAGAATACTAGAAAAAGAGAGGGAAACGTCAAGTAAAGAGTAAAAAGTAGCAAACCGAAGTAGAGAGAGAATTAAAATATGAAGAAGAAAATAGGAACGAAGAGAAGAAACCTGAAGAAGGAACGAAGAAAGTAAAAAAATAAAAAATGAAAAAGACGAATCAGATTCAATGAAAAGTGGTAGACAGATGGAAAATACAGGTGAGAGGCAGAAAACGAAAATAAATGGGAGAACTGAAGAAGAAACGGCAAAGATAAAAAAAAACAAAAGGAAGAAAAGGTAGTCTACTTTCTGAGTCTCACAAATTCTCTTACCTTTAATATGCACTGCGAGTATCAAATTCTATAAACCCTCCTTATGTTAAAGAAAAAAGAAAGAAAAGACCTTGAAAATGAAAAGAGAAAATGTAGAAAGGAGAAAGAACGAAGCAAATAAAAAATAATAAAAAAAGGAAAAATATGGGAAAATAAAAAGTCAGATGGGAAACGGAGGTTAGATATAGAAAGCGAAAACAAATATGAAAAATGAAGAAGGAAAATAGCAAAATAGCAGCAGCAGCAGCAGAAAAAGAAGAAGAAGAAGAAAAAGAAGAGAAACGGAAAATAGTAGAGAAGTGTTCAAGCAAAACAGTAAATAAAAAGATATGAAGAAGAATCAAGAAATAAAATGAAGACTTAGAAAGACGTGTGAGAATTGTGAGATGAGGTCACTCTTAGTTTGGTTGACCTTTTAGATCTTGCTCTCGCTTCTTGAAGATTATTCAGACAAGCTGATTGAAAAGTGTGTCGGCTGGATGTTGTTCAAATTTAACCACGAGTTTACTTAATGAACAAAAATCAAAAACAATCACGAGGTTACTTAATGAACAAAAATCAAACGTATAAATGTCAACCTAACAAGCTATAAGATAAAAGTTTTAGTGGAAAAAAGTAATAAATATAAATTGGATTACTCTTTCAATGTTCTGTCTATGGATTTTCCAATCGACTGCTTCATAGAAAATACCCCAAACTCCACCGAATTTCAAATTAATTTCTTCGTAGATTGTTTGAAAATTTAGATATTTATCAAACCTTAACCTCCCAAATATGCACGTTAAAGTAACGCGAACTGACAGCGTCTGAGAATTTGAATGAAACCTGTCGTGTAATTTATTGGGGTTGTTGTAACGTCTCCCTTTAATGTAGTTCTTATCGCTCAACCCTTAACCAGCTTTATCTAGAGACGAAACGCGTTACATTTGAGCAACATCCAGCCGACACACTGGGGTTAAAATAGGAAACTAAATGATACATATGACACACTCATATCCTCTCTCCCATCTCACTTCCTCACTTCGTTAACTTTGCCTATACTTGATGAGGTCCGTAAAAAACGTGTGAATTTCTTTTCATTTTTCATTTCAGCTTTTGAAGTAAAGTCTGATGATCCAGAACCCCTGTTAAAGGGGTTATGGTGAAATAGCTTATTACATGGAATCTTAACGGGTCTGTCTTTTATTCAAACATATCTGCTCTGAATTTTACATTGAGCTCTCTGATATCATCCTCCTCAGGTCTACTCATACGGATTACCTAAATTTGCATAAACTATATATATAAATATATATATATATATATATATATATATATATATTGTAACCTATAGAGGGTTAAGGAATAACCAAAGCTAAGGTTGAAAATGAAATAGTAATCTTTATTACATCAACGAGGCAGATAATTCCCGCATTAGGTTGCCATTTTTTCTGCGTTAGACCATTTCCCACCCAAAGCTATAGAATCCGGTCTGTCCTGCTATTTATCCATAGCTGGGGGAAGAATAAGAGGATTCATACATTTTCCGAGAGTATTATTAGAACGTAAGTGAAAATATTGATTCGACTGATATTCGAACTCGGCTCGGAACCGCTATCTATTAGTCGACTGTGGCCCTTGTTATAACAACTCATACACACACAATATATATATATATATATATATATATATATATATATATATATATATATATGAAGCAAGTATTTGTAACCAGAAGTAAGAACATCGCTTAGCATCCACAAATTTCAATTAGCTTATTTTTTTCAGTTTATTTTTGACGTTCTTAAATTTATAATTATTTTATTTTTACTTCTGTTTATAAATACTTGCTTCAAAATAAAATCCTTACTTCTGCCTTGATAAAGTCCATCGGGAGACAAATCCTGTCGGCTAAGTAGATTTCGTGTTTTTTTTTGTACATATTGTCTTTTTCAGAATATATTTTTAAGTTATATATACAGTTTTGCACACATACTTACACACACACACACACATACACACACACACACACACACACACACACACACACACACACATATATATATATATATATATATATATATATATATATATACAGTGCTGTTCGATAAAAGTGACTCACCTTATCCTTTGAATTTAGCTCTACTTTCGTTTCATCGGAGAAGGGAACATTCTTCCAGTCTTCTACGGTGAAACTTTTGTAATAGTGAGCCCATTCAAGACTTGGTTTTGTTGGTTTTGCTTATTAGCGGCTTAAAGCTTCTTGTACAAGATTTGTAGCCTTGTTCTGATGGACTGTTGAAGAGGCTAGACTAAGACCTTGCTCTTCGATTAGACTGGCTGCAATTTCTTGGCTAGTTATAGTCCTATTCTTCGCAACTTCTCTCTTGATTACCCTGCCAGTTCTATCATCAATATTTTTCTTTCGTACCCTATTTTTCTTTCTTTGAACCTGGAGTGGCATCATTATCTGACCTAAGCACTCGAGAGACAGTTGATTGCGAGGTTATAGCAATTTCTGCAATTTCTCTCGTAGACTTCACTTGAGAGGGCAATAATAGATGCCTTAAGTGGTTCTGATGGGTGTTTGTACCCTTTCATCTTGTTAGTGACTTGAGTGGCTATGTCAAGTTGTTTTTATACTGTATGAGACTTTCTGGAATACTCTAGATTTAATTCAAGCTCTTTTAGAATTTTCTAGAATATTGTTCTGAGTGTATGGTAAAATAGTTTTCAATATTTTGTCAAAAGTTCTTTAAATTTACCAGTTTAATCATTAGAATGCGATATCTAAGTCACGTTTTTTTTTGCACAAGGGAAGGCGTCTTTATATTAGTAAGAGTAAAAATCATTTTAACCCCAAAAACAATAGACAAAAATATTTTTAGTAAAAAAATCAGGTGTCACTTTTATCGAACAGCACTATATATATATATATATATATATATATATATATATATATATATATATATATGCAACAATATTTCAAGGGCCTTTTATTCGATATTATTTCTTATTACTTTAAACGTTATTTTTAATGGGCAAACGTATTTTTAGTTTTGAGTTCCATGTTTTTTTTTAATTTTTTAAACTGTGAGATTAATAACCAGCCTAGATTGAGAAGTGCTAAGAAGAAAATTAGAGCCATAATTAAATTGTAATAAGAACGCTATATTTTATAAGAATGAAAAAAGCAGGAATTCTAAATTACATTTAGTTCTTTATTTTCGATGCAACCGGTGCATTCTCCTACTTCAGATTTTTTTTTACTTCAAAATTGTTCTGCCCACCTGTGTTTAAAAACGCGATAGGATTAATACGCTGAAAATGCGCTCAATCTCAGAGATGCTATCAATTATTTGTTAGCACTAACCCTAATGGAATCATCTCCAATTTCCTTATAACTGATTAAGTAATATTCACGGGTAAAAAAAAAAATGCTTCTCTTTCACTGCTGCACACAGCCCTTCAAATGACGCATTTTCAATGGCAGCCATAATAGATTTTACTTTGCGCATGCGTCAACACGTCGTGGAATACATTGGCTGTTACAATCAGGAAAACTGAGAAGGCAAAAGAAAGAAGAGACGTTGTGTTAAATATCAAATATTAATTATAGGTAGAGAGAGAGAGAGTTGCAGAGGAAATTCGAAAGACTTGTTTTGATAAGCGAGAAACAGAGAATATTAAAAAATGTAAGAGAAAAGGGAGAGAGAGAGAGAGAGAGAGAGAGAGAGAGAGAGAACGAAACTGCACAGAATTAGGAAGGACACAAGAATGAAAAATGAAAGTTAAGGGAAACTATGGCGATGAAAGTGAAAGAATAATGACAAAAAGAAAGCGGAAAATAGAAAAATAAAAAGAATGAGAAGTCAGGTAAAGAGTAAAATACGAAGAAATTCAAGCAGGAATCCGAAGAAGAGAGAAAATGAAAACACGAGGAAGAAGATATGAAAAGAAAAGAAAAGAAAAGAACGGAGAAGAATAAAGAAAAGAGAGTTAAAGAAAGAAAACAAATAGAATGAAAAGAGAAAATAAAGAAGGGAGAAAGAACGAAGAAAATAAAAATAATAAAAAATGAAGAATATGGGAAAATGAAAAGTCGAAGACAGATGGGAAACGGAGGTTAGATGTAGAAAACAAAAACAAATGTGAAAAATGAAGAAGAAAAATGGTAAAATAACAGAAGAAGAAGAAGAAGAAGAAGAAGAAGGAGGAGGAGGAGAAGAAGAAGAAGAAAAAGAAGAAGAAGAAGGAGGAGGAGAAGAAGAAGAAGAAAAAGAAGAAGAAGAAGAAGAAGAAGGAGGAGGAGAAGAAGAAGAAAAAGAAGAAAAGAAGAAGAAGAAGAAGAAGAAGAAGAAGAAGAAGAAGAAGAAGAAGAAGAAGAAGAGAAACTGAAAATAGAAGAGAAGTGTTCAACTTAAAAACGTAAAAAAAGGTATGAAGAAGAATCGAGAAATAAAATGAAGACTTAGAAAAACGATAGCATAAAAACAATAAATATTTTAAGAAAAAATCATATAAGAAAAAAAAACGATTACAGAAAGAAATTGAAAAGACGAGAAAAATAAAGAATGTTTGAAAAGATAGATAAAAGAAGAAAAAAAAAACGGAAAAAATGAAAAAAGAAAGAGAAATTATATTGGAGTTAAATAAGAAAAAGGAAGAGAAGAGAAGAATAAAAATTATCCGGACAAGCCCCTCCGCCACCCTTAGAAAAATAAATAAGAGAAATAGAGAACAAAATGTAGATCAACAGAATAGAAGAGAATAGTACAAGCGAATTCAAGATTAGGAATAGATATGAAATTGAATGAAAGAAATTATATAATTATAAGAGATGTAAAGAGAAGAAGAATGAAAGAATAGAAAAGCAGGCATAAAAATTATAGAATGCGAATAAAAGAATAAATGAGTAAAAACTACTTATATAATGAAGAAAAGTATTCAGCAAAGGTAAGAAAACACAAACGGAATGAAAGAAGAGATAAAAAGAAACAGGAGAACACAATCGCATTATAAAAAAAACAGAACGCGACTTCACAGAATGAAAGAATAGAAAAATGACAGCAAAAATAAAAAAAAATAACGGCGGAATAAAAAAACTAAAAAGATAAACGAATAAAAGAATGTATGAAATTAAAAGGCAATTAAAGAATAAAAGAATAATAGAAAAAGATAAAGAATAATGAAAATAAAAGACGAACAGAAGAAATATATGGGGTAAAATGAAAGCATTAAATAATGTCAAAAATGCTAATGTAAGAATAAGAGAATATCAGAATAAAAGAGATTTGGAGGAAAATAAAAAACAAATGTCTCAGAAGAGAATAAAAGAATAAAGGAACAATACAGAATGAACAGGGAATAAAGCATAAAAGAAGGAAAAAAGAAATAAGAGTAAAATAACTGGAAAGATCAAAAAATACAAATAAAAAATAACCTGAATAAAATGAACATGGCAAAATGGAAGAAAAAAGGAAAAAAATAAGAATGTCATGACAAATGAGCAGTAAACCGGAAGTGCAGAAAAGACAGATGGGAACGCTTGAAGATTTGTAAAGGAAAAAAGAAAATTCGGAGATGGCCGATTTTTCTTCCTCTTACTCGAATAATAGAGGCTAATTAAGAAGTCCATGAGGTCTGATTTCAGCGCGTTTTGCGACTCACGTCATTAGCATACAACTATTCTTTTAAACATGACTGAAATATACGAACATATCTATATTGCTTATGTCACTACAGATCTAGGTTGACTTCACGGTGTTTCTTTCTTTCGTAATATTCATATGTTTCTCATTTGATTCATATCTATCTATCTATTTATCTATCTATCTATCTATCTATCTCATTCTATTCATATGATTCTGTCTATCTCATTCTGTTCATATCTATCTATCTATCTATCTATCTATCTATCTATCTATCTATCTATCTATCTATCTATCTCATTCTATTCATATGATTCTCTCTATCTCATTCTGTTCATATCTATCTATCTATCTATCTATCTATCTATCTATCTATCTCCTTTTATTTATCTCTCTCATTCTCTGTATGTACCTCATTGTATTGATCTCACTTCATTTCATTCTGTTCATATCTATCTATCTATCTATCTATCTATCTATCTCCTTTTATTTATCTCTCTCATTCTATGTATGTACCTCATTGTATTCATATTTATCTCACTTCATTTAATTCTGTTAATATCTATCTATCTATCTATCTATCTATCTATCTATCTATCTATCTCATTCTATTCATATGATTCTCTCTATCTCATTCTGTTCATATCTATCTATCTATCTATCTATCTATCTCCTTTTATTTATCTCTCTCATTCTATGTATGTACCTCAATGTATTCATATTGATCACTTCATTTCATTATGTTCATATCTATCTATCTATCTATCTATCTATCTATCTATCTATCTATCTATCTATCTATCTATCTCATTCTATTCATATGATTCTCTCTATCTCATTCTGTTCATATTCATCTATCTATCTATCTATCTATCTATCTATCTATCTATCTATCTATCTATAGAGAGTGTAGCAGCGCAAATCTGTCCAAATCGTATAACAGCAAAATTGTCCAATTCGTAGATTAAGCTGTGAATCGTTGTATCTTAGAAATGATGAAAGATATCTTACTGGAATAATCCAAGGTTTTTATAAAACGACAGGACACTATATGGAGCTATAAGATTGTATAATTACTCTCTCAGTTTAAAAAAGAGAATCGTGATGAAATCGATCATAAACGAAAATGACATGTTCATCATTAATTAATCATAGCTAAGGATCCGAAGCTCATGAAGGATTGAAATAAATTTAACACCACACACACACACACACACACACGCACACACACACACACACACACATATATATATATATATATATATATATATATATATGAGATTCCAGGATCATTTCCCAACTTATTCAATATGATCTTTACCCTCTCTAACCTTCTAACTTTCTTTCCTGAAGTAACAAGATGTCTCATAAGTTTTATTAGCTTTAAGTTAAAATGATGATCTCTCTTACTGCTGTGACCTTCTGGCCGAGTTTTCCTCTATTTTTCCCTCTTTTTAAACTTATTCAAAGTTCTCTTGAAGGTTCTTGCATGCACTTTGAAAATGGAAGCCGTGTTAATATCTACGATGAGCTTTTTTAAGTTTGTCCTTGGAGAGTTTGCGATACTTGCATTTTTAAGTTTTCCATACAGCTCTTTCGGTTTTCAAGCGTCTTCTAAGCGAGCAAAGTCACCAAATCATCTCAGTTTTTACTTCATGAACATGGACTCATTGATCGTTATTTTAGCCAGTTATTTTAGCTCCCGTAGTCGCCTCATATGACCGCCATTAGTGCTTTTTGAAAGAATCGCTGGTCGAAACGCTCTTCATGTGAAAGATATGGCCATAAGCCTCAGCTTAAAAGATATCACAAATGAGAGTCATAAATGTTTTCGTCAATGCAGGGAAGTTAGCAGACCCAGAATAGAAACTACAAAAACTCCTTGAGAAAGGAAGTGAAAGGAAAGCGACGAGAAAGGAGGAATGCATGGTTTTTAGCAAAAACTATAAGCCCTAAGTGCGAATTGCAAATCGGAGATAGCAAATTCAAATAAGAGCAGAAATTTAAATATCTGGGAAGTGTTTTAACAGAAGACGGAAAGAACGACACTCAGATCCGAAGGCGTATTTGGATAGACAAGAAAGTATTCCGAAATTAAGATATATGTCGCTAGAAAAAAAAGAAAAAAAGTATTAGGTACTTACTCTTTTTTCTGCTATTTTATATCTGTCCTCATATACGGCAATGAGTGCTGGAATATCTCAGAAATGTAGATGAGACTTAAAGCAACAGAAATATGGTTCTACAGAAGGGTGGTGATGATATCGCGAACCAAATATGTGAACAACGACGAAATATTGTAGAAAATGGTAATAAAAAGGAAACTAATACTTAACATCAGAAGAATGTGAAAAATGAAGTAGAAAAATGTCAAAAAAACATAAAATATGTATAGATATATGTAACAAGGCGAAGGAAAAATGAAAAATGAAATAAGGGCAAAGAAGAGAGAGAGAGACGAAAGTGGATACAGTACAATAGGCATAGAAAAGGAAGAATAAGAAAATTCAACAGAAGAATAATAACCATAATATATTTTAAGAGAAATTAAATGGTGGAATGAAGAAGAATATAGAATAGAATAAAAACAAGAAGAAATTACATATTGAATAAATGAAGAGAACGGAGAGCGTAAAGAATAGCGAAGCTGGGAAAGGAAGGTTAAAAGTAGGGAAAGAGAAGGAAAAAGTAGAAGAAGAAGAAGAAGAAGAAAAAGAAATTAAAGAGTAAATAACCATAGAGAAAAGAAAGAGAAGGAACATATGATACAAAAAATAGGGTCAGATAGGGGAAGACTAAGGAAGGTTAAAAGAAGAAGAGGAAGAAGGAAAAAACGAATTTAAAGATTACATAAACACAGAGAAAAGGGAGATAATTGAAGGATGACAGAAAAGAACAGGGAACGGCTGAAGAAGAAGAAGAAGAAGAAGAAGAAGAAGAAGAAGAAGAAGAAGAAGAAGAGTTCAACCTAAAAAGTAAAAAAAAACATATGAAGAAGAATCAAGAAATAAAATGAAGACATAGAAAGACGATAGGATAAAAGTTGAGCGTTCTGGTGCATATGATATCGAATTAGAAATTGGAAATTCTGCTCACTGGTCGGATTAAGGGCAAGAGGGTTAGGGGAAAAAACACAGAATATACTTAGTGAGCTTGAGTAAATGGATGGCTCAACATGGCTCAGAAACATAACAGAAAAACAAAGATTAAGAGCTACACAGGACAGGATGTTTTGGAGGGCCATGATCGCCTACGTCATCAGATGACACAGCACATAAAGAAGAAGAAGCTAAACAACTGATGCTAAACAAATCTGTACATATATAGATGCCGACATCGCTATTGCAATATTAAAATTGCAAAGAAGATCGTGTAGAGACTAGAATCCAGAATAACACATTGCTTAAAACCAGACATAACATGGATGGGTTCTAATTGTTCACTACTGACTAAGCTTCCTTGTTGTGACATAAAGATCTAATAAACCCTGTGATCTTTTAAAAGCAGCTTAGTTTAAGGAGGTTACTCCAAAGCCTGATGACTGTCGACTCGTTATCGTGTCCGGTCTTCAAACAACTTCCCGCAAATATTGATTGGTGAAACGCATGGACATTATGTTTAAGCCCTGTCACTGAGTTACGTCCACCCTGACGCAACAACCACTAAGATCTCCACAAAACTGTTCAATGCTAGTGCATGTAACTTTTAAAATGTAGAAAGACGGTGAACCTACCCTGTATAAAAACATACATACGGCTTACGGCCATATGCCATTTAAACAAAATTTCTCGTACAATCACCGATGTTAAACAAACTTAGAAGGATTCAGTATCTAGACTGGTGACGGCTGTAGAATACGAGGTACAGTATGCTTGGATGTGCAGATAACAACTTCGAACCAGAAATCGGAGAGCCGTGCTCTAATTCAAGTCGGGTTTCTTTTTATTTGCATAAGCGCATATACTCTTGAGGAATGGTATGAATCCAACCCTTTTCCCTCTCAATATAGGTTAATTTGTAGGTCTTGTATCAGAAAATATTTATTATATCCAAATAATTCTTATAATCTAAAATTTGTTTTCTAGCTTTATATAACCTGCAAAAGTTTCATAAACCACAAAAAAAAACAAACAAACAAAAAAAAACCCAAAAAAAAACAAACATTTAATCGTATCAGGTCATCCCATAAGTTCTGTCCGAATTTTGAATAAAGAAAACAAGTGACCAAATGTTACATTTAATTACAGATTCAATCAACAATGTATTTTCCTTGATTATCTATGACATCCTTCCATCTATTAACAAGCTTACTAATTCCATTTCTGTAAAATTCTTTTGGCTTTGATTCGAAGAACTCACAAATGTCAGTTTTAACCTCTTCCTGTGTTACAAAATCTGTTTGTTCCAAATGATTCTGTAATCTACGAAACAAATGGTAGTCTGAAGGAGCAAGATCGGGAGAATAAGGTGGATGAAGAATTTTCTCCCAACCAAGTTCTTCGATCTTTTGTGACGAGATTCTTGCTGTGTGGGGTCGCGCACTGTTCTGATGAAACATCACCCCTTTCCGATTCACTAGAGCAGGTCTTTTTTTCCTCAAAGCTTCGTTCAAACGCTCTAATTGCTGACAGTATATTTGAGCATTAATTGTTGCATTAGGTGGTAAGAATTTAATGTGGATTATTCCTTGGTGATCCCACCAGATTGAAAGAAGAACCTTTTGTCCATGAAGTTCCCTTCTCGGCTGTGGCTGGGGTCCTTCCCCTTTACCAAGCCACTGTCTACGACACTTAACATTTCAATAAAAGATTCATTTTTCGTCGCCAGTGACAAGTCTATCCAAAAAATGTGAAACAAGTTGGCGAGAATGGAGAGAAGAGCAGATGTCAACTCGGGATTTGAGGTTGTCTTCAGACAATTCATGAGGCACCCATTTTCCAAGTTTAGGAACTTTTTCAAGTTGTTGAAGATGACGATGAACACTTGT